GATTGTCGCATTCCTGTTGCAACGCAGCAGCAAGTTCTTGGACATTTGCAGGACGTTGTTGACGTTGACGTAACCTCTGTCCAAGCATGTCCCAGACATGCTCGATGGGGAAGAGGTCGGGACTCAGTGCTGGCCAAGGTAATGTGGTGATGTTCTGTTGTTGGAGGTAACCTGTAACGATCCTGGCCCTGTGACATCTTGCGTTGTCATCCTGGAAGATGAAACGGCGGCCATGACGTCGTGCGAACGGCACAACATGGACTGCCAAGATGTTGTTCCGGTAGTACTGGCCTGTAACACGCCCTGCAACAACATGTAAAGCCGTTCTTCCAGCAACAGTGATGCCTCCCCACACCATAACAGAACCACCCCCAAATCGATCATGTCTGATGACGTTAACGTCTTGGAAGCGCTCGTTTCGACGACGCCACACCCTCCTACGTCTGTCCAAAAAATCACCAGTGAACCTTGACTCATCTGAAAACATCACATTGCTCCAGCGTCGATTATCCCAGTGTTGACGATCCCTACACCAACGACGTCTTGCCTGAATGTGATGATCTCTCAAACAAGGGATCACGCGAGGACGTCGGGCGCGAAGGTGACCCCTATACAGTCGATTCCGAATCGTCTGGCCACTCACTCTCACACCAGTGTCTGTTTGAAGACGAGCGCTGATCTGATTTACTGTGATGACACGATTTCTCAAGGCCAAGGTACGGATAAATCGATCCTGGGCTTGAGTTGTCGCCCTTGGTCGACCTGAGCGTGGTCTGTCCTGTACAGATTGTGTATCACGGTATCTGGACCATAGCCTGCTTATGACAGACTGAGAAACATTCATCGTCCGCGCCACAACCGCCTGTGTTGTGCCGATCTGTAGCATGCCAAGGGCACGTAACCTTTCATTTTGGGTAAGCCGACGCATATCAAAATTTGTTTTCTGGTCACTAAAACAATTAAACTGATGTTTCCACCCTGGAATTCAATGCCACAATGACTGTAACATTCAAAGTCAGAGTCGTGCAAATCTTGGGTTGGACCCCTATGATGATCCCAAGCATCACATGAATTCCATGCGGTAGCTATTGGTGCGTTTGGGCGTCACATGTAACTGGAAATGTTTCTTCTGTTAGTTTCTATAGTGACTTTTTTCGTAGTCATTTGCATATTTTAGTATTATGCCCCCAAAATCAAATATCCCCTACTTTTTTTGAATAGTATATATACAAATACTTCTACGTTTTTATATAATTAGGGTTGTGCCTTTTCAGATTTTAAAACATTTTATACAATATACTGACAAATCAGTATAGTAAATAATTGTGTCCCAACATATCAAGCAAAGTTAGTAAAAGCACATTGTATGTTATATATAAACGACTAGCCATGCCGGGCGTGCGAACCATTTTTTCAGTAGTTACATTTTAATTTTCCAAATGGTCGATCCACGTCTTGAATCGTTTTCGAATCCCTCAAATCCGAAAACGAAATCCCACTGTTCCGACAGACCAGCGTATTTGGGCAAAGTGTAGTATTACGAGAATACTAAATGGAGATACATAAAATGTAGATGCCGTTTTAGGTTTATAGATAAGATCGTAAACATTGTTAGTCCCGAAAAATACATCTATAAACAAATAATTAAACAAAAAGGGGGGGGGGGGCTGCCCCTGAGTTATGGTTATTGGTTGAATGGTCCCGTCATCTGCACTGTAAAGTACTGTGATGGTTTGAGGAAACGTTGGTCAATGTATACAACTGTGTACTGTGTTGGTTTGAGAAAGTAAATTTTGTGTTCTGATGAAATCTGGTCCGCGGGACTGGCTGAACTCGCCACTAGAAGGGCTGGGAATTTTACAAGCCAAGGTAGCGTGTGATGGGATGCCCGAACCTAGTTGCTTGTGTTGACGAGACATTAAACTCCATTCAGTGCTTGCTTGACAGTAGTTGGACCCTAACCATAATTGAACGCTAAAGCCACTCAGCTCTACTATATCATTGTTATTGGTTTCAGGAAACGTGTGTGTGAGTGATATATGGGTTATATTTGCTGTATGATAAGATTTGTTGACAAGTTAATTATAGAACCATGTTTAACATATCTACAATCAACAATGATTTATCTAAATTATCTAAAACTTCGCTCTATTACTGATATTCCCACATGCGCGTATGATGGAATTACTTATTTCGTATTTGGCCTATGATTAACTCATCGGAAAAGGACCATTTTATTTAGTTATTGACAGATTTTTAGTAAAGAACTTTTTTATTGTTTTACGTTCATTTACTTTTATTTAAATCTGCCCTTGATTTATACTGCATTATAACCAAACACGACAGCTTTCCTCTAGACAACTTTATTCTTCGCCCCGTTGTTGTCCGTGGCCCATGGCCATTTTGAAATAAAATCCTCAAATTCTTCACAGACTGGAATTTAGGGATCCACAAAGAGTGATAGTCACTCGCCACTTTTGGATACTCCTTTTCCCTTTCCCTGACGTTCTTTTTGTCTTTTTTGGCCTAAAATTAAAAATAAGAGTGGTTGAATATCCATGGTTCTTAGGCGGAAGAAACAGGAAGAAAACACATGAATTTGCGTAACCACCTAGCTAAATGACGTCACATATAAATTCATTTGACTGGGCTTTGAAAAAGATCCAAACTGTCAACCCCTTCAATAGTTTTTTTTTTTATCAGATGTAACATGGGTGCATGGGTGTTTGGGGGGGGGGGGCTGCGATCCCTCAACCTTCTCTGTGATTTGTCGAAACCCGTCTATATTAAGCTAGTACGTAAAATTTAACAGAGGACTAACACAGAGCACGGAATGAAAATGATTCCGCGCTGAATCCTACTCTTTTGGGTATTATTGGTAGCCGCGGTGAGCATTGGGTAAGGCGTTGTTTCACTAAACTAGAGGTCTCGTATTCGATCCCTGTGTTGGCCTAGAAAGTTTATCGGGATTTTATCGGTGTGCCTCTCCCTTGTCAGTGTTGCAGGAGAGAGGGGACGAAAAACCGAGGTCCCATGTACACATTTTCGATATAAGAGTAGGCCGTAGCTCCGCCGTCTGGGCAAATTCAATGACAGACCTTGGGATATAAAGCGCACGCGTTAAACATTTCGGCTATGCAACCGCCATCAGTAGTTATATACATAATACTGACACTGGAGTTTGACAGTTAACCAAAAACAAAAACATATGGACAATAATAAGAATGGACCAATGTGGATTTCCAAATGAGAAAAACAAATCTGGGCCCTGTTTCACGAAATTTTAACTAAAGATAAAATCTAAATTTTAGTAGATACTTCAATTTTGATTGGCTAAGCACTTAAATCAATCTAGTATTATCCAATCAAATTACTAAAATTTGGATTTTATCTTAGTTAAAATTTCGTGAAACAGGCCCCGTGGTATCAGGGCCCCGTTTCCCGAAATCTTAACTAAAGATAAAATCCAAATTTTAGTAGATACTTCAAGTTTGATTGGCTTAGCACTAAAATCAATCTAATATTATCCAATCAAATTACTAAAATTTTGATTTTATTTTAGTTAAAATTTCGTGAAACAGGTCACAGGTGTTTTAAGTTAAGCAAAGCTTAGACCATTGACTTCATTGCACTATAATAGGGTGCCATTGAACTCTGTAATAACATTAGAAGAAAGAGACTGGTTGAATGAGTCTTTGTGTGTCACATTATATTATAAGTAGATGTTTACTACAGTCAATATAACCTAGTGCGTTTCGGGTAATACTATACATGTATTTATATATACCAACCATACCATATACCTTATACATAATAAATATCTTCACACTTATTATACCCGAATATACCATACTTGTAATAAATATCTTTACATTCAATTAAATTCGAACCTATATTTGTTGTTTATTTCTTGCAATGTCTCTGTAGTTTATCTTGTCTGCGGGTTTGTTGTGTCAATTTTGTTTAGCGTTTAGTGCGGTCCTCCTGCACGTACTATTAGATAGGCCTACTACCTGACCATACTCTAATAGTAATTTAGACCCATTCATTATCCTCTATGTGGGGTTTGGTTAGCCAAAGGATTCGATGATCTTAGTTGGTTATAAGCAAGATTTTTAGAACAGAATGGGGGGTTACTTTTAAAGTAACAGAACGCTTTCCCGAGTTGTTTCTAATGAAAATCGTATTTATCTAAATAAACATATTACATAGAGAAAAAGAAACGCCACGTTCTTCCTACCTTATTTCCTTTTTACAATATTTTTTTTTTAAAAAGGCGGGGGGTGGGGGGGGGTGTGATCCCGTGAATAAGTCGCTGGCTCGTTAACCAGGATGTCTTGGTTTCACTCTCGGTGTTGGGCAAAAAAGCTCCTCGCGGGGGCTTCCGGTGTAGTTTTCACTTTTTAGTGCTGCAAGGCACACACTCACTGGCAAAAATTTCCGTCACAACACACTGCATGGGATGTTACATTTCATCTCATTTCATTTTGTTTACAAAAGATTAAACGAGACATTCGATTTTGAAAATAATGAGTAGCCATTTTCTATGTCCGTTTCTTCATCAAGAAAATAACTAGATATCGCCCCCCACACCCATCGTGACCGTAATACATCGGGGGGTGGTGAACTGTTTACTATCTCCATAGGTAATAAATACCTTCCATTCATATAATCTTTAACCTGTGCCATCAAAGAATTTAGGGTAGTGTATTATAGTTTATTGATAAAGGGCAATAAATACTGACTTAGATTTAGTATTTATGTAATGTCCAACGACAAAAAGCATACTAAGACGCATAAACTGTTTAAAGGCGATTTAACATAAAGTCATTAACTCCACTTAACTGTCTATTTAAGCTGAACAGAATGAGATTAATAACGTTAAATTACCTTTAATCGTCTTTATACTGTTCGCGATATCACTATATTTCTTGCATCATTAAGTACATTGCAGTTTTAAAAAATACATTCCGTTGCCTTTAATAACAATAACTATCAAATAAGGCTAGGTCAAATTTATATATTTTATAATTTCATTTAAATAAATAAATAAATACATTTGTACATGATGGTACATTGTCATTGATAATGATACTATTACTATTATTATTGTTCCTGTCTTTAAAGATGCATTATGTAAGAGTTAAATCTCCCTATTGCAATTCTTTCTTTTTGCCTCAATTGAATTATAAGTTATAATTTACATGACAAGCCCATAATCAACTCTCGACATCATTGAATGGCCGAGATTTAAATGGATTTAAACACGCGTGAGATTTAAAAATTTAACAATAAACTGAAGCCTCGTGGCTAAATCTCTGTTGGCAAGTACCGTTGCTACGATAATACACGATCTATGGTACATCTTCAAACAGTCATAACTTCGCCCAGAATAAAGTAATTTAATTGAAACTTTCATTATCTATTTTTGAACTATTAAAGCAAGAACGACCAATGGTTTATCTAAATCTTACATTATGCACCTTCACTGGTAGCCTACATGACTAGATATTGTATAGAAATTCTAGAGACTTATTTCCAGTGACCTTACATTGACGTAAAATTTCCAATGACGTGACATTGCAAATGACCTAACATTTCCAATGGCGTTTACACAGTGGCGTTTATAAATAATTTTCAGACATTTTCCATGACATAAGGTTTCTTTTGACATCAACTTGTCTTTAAAAAAAAAGCCAAGCCGGTTCATTAAACTTGCAAATTGCATTGCTGCCATTAATCATTTGGGATGCAATTTTGTATATCTAGTCCTTCTGCTGAAAAAATCCAAATTGCCACGAATCCGAACCTCTAATCTTTTCCATATTCCACAGCACAGCAGTGCTACGTAAAGTCAACTATACTGAGTTAGGCTATAGTCATGTGTATAGTTAACAACAGAGTGTGGTCCTATGTTAAGTCAAGAACAGAGTATGGTCCTATGTCAAGTCAACAACAGAGTAGTACTATGTCAAGTCAACAACATTGTAGTCACATGGTCAACAACATTATAGTCTGTCAGTTCAACAACATGCAGTCATATGCCAAGTCAACAACAGAGTAGTCATATGCCAAGTCAACAACAGGGTAGTGCTATGCCAAGTCAACAACACTGTAGTCCTATGCCAAATCAAGAACACTGTAGTCATATGGCACGTCAACAACATTGTAGTTCAATGTCAAGTCAACAACATTGTAGTTCTGTGTAAAGTCAGAGAAGTCCTATATCAGATTCGTAACCTGTGTACTTCTGAATAAGGGCATAAAATAGGTTTAGATTCTGGGCAATCAAATATTCGGAATATTTGAAAAAAATTTCTCGCACAGACAACGGGTAAACAAATAACAAATTTCTGGCACAGACAACGGGTAAACAAATAACAAATGAAAGTAGCCTACATAAATAAATAATGTAAAAAAATAATTTAATATAGAATTGGGTAGACACCGGGATTTAACACTATTTAAATTCATGTCATATCAGAAAACATTTGGCACAAGATAGCCTTTCGTAATGAAGAGTTCTTGTTTCAAAACTCAATAAACGTCATTTGTTATATTCCCCACACGTACCTATCATATCTATTGTCAGTGACATATACGGGATTTTTGTTGTTGTTTTGTTTTTTGTTTTTTTTGGGGGGGGGGGGGTGCGAGGTGGGGGAGGCACAAAATGTTTGTACTCGGTAATTCATTAAAACACATAGATATTTAATATTTTGTTGTTCTACTCAATTTACGTTTAAGGTGTTTTGGGAAAAGGCTACTATATTGCCATGCAAACATGTCACTGTAGTTTACTGTTTACTTTTTAATACTCAATATTACACGCGAATCAATTTTTTAAAAATCTAATATGTTTTCGTTTAAAAAAATCAATTTGTTAACCAAATACAAAACCTTTGCCGATTTCAAAACACTATGGTACACAAATTGAAGTCAAATTCACACGACATCACATGTAAAATGGTGTCCAAATTCAATGAAAATTGTTTCGTTGATTAGCATGATACGGGACGGTTGATTATTGTTTAACAAAATAGTGTTCAGCTCAACGATCTAAGACCATTGGCCCATTTAGCTATAAGCTATGACAGATGTCGTGAACTTGGTTGAATCGTGAATTATTCGCGATCACAGTTTATATAATAAATTATAACACAGGGTATATCACGACTCGCCGTAAACTATATGAATAGCACTGTCAGTTTGAGGAGGAGTATCTTCGTAAACAAAATCCGGCTCTGGGGGATCCTCAGCTTCTCCGTTCACAACATCTAACCATTGTAAAACGCGTTCTTTTGTAGCTTCATCGGGTTCTGATCCATCATCGTCGTCATCATCATCATCATCACCAATCTGAAACTTTATATGATCACTCACTGAAACGTGTTTTTTAGAGTTCGTTGTGTTAATATTTCGTTTACCGTTCCCGTTAAAATCCACACTACTGTGTTTATGATTGTAGAGGCTGCTGCGGGTCGTCGTTCTAGCAGTTAATGCGTTCGTTTGTTGGTAAGATAGTCTTTTATTAAAAGCTAAATTAGAGTTTTTCATATTTTTTCTTTCTGTTATCATTTTCGGATCTGACATTATTCTTTTGATTCCATTTCTTTTTGAACTTTGTGAAATGTTTGTCCCATTCGAATTCATGTTTGTATTACTGTGAGAGTTTGTAATAACCCCGGTTTGACTTACGCGACCCATGGTAGAGTTTCTTGAATCTTGGGAAACGGATCTCGGATGATGTTTTACCAAACTTGTGGAGTCCTCATTTGAAAGTTTCTTCAGGTGCGGATCGGTAGGTTTCTGTTCAAACACTGTTCCCAGTTTTGCAGGCTGATCTGTAGCACACCAAGACGTCGTCCTTGGCAGTCGCCCCGTTGTATGCGTATTGGTGCCGGATGGATGCGAGTACCCCGAAGACGAAGAGAAACTATGAGGAGATCGTGATGATGCTATGTCTAATAATGACGCTTCAATTTGTTTCCGGGGTTTATTTGGCAATGTTACAAATTCGGTGGACCCACTTAATGATCTCGATCTGTCTGCCAAAGGCGGTAACTCAGGGGTAGTCATTCTTCTAAAACAGCGAGAGCAGACGCCATCAGGTTCATTATCGATGTCTCCGGGAATATTAAACGATACAACACTATGTTTACGGGTCGATTGAACTGAGTTATTCCCTTTTAGGAGTTTGGTATTTAAATTGGATCTAATATTTTCTGTTTTTAAAATACCCAAACCTTTTGGTTTCCGATATGATTTTGGTGTCCGGGATGGTGCAGCTGCTGTCCGGGATGTATTGCCTGGTGTTCGAGTTGGGTCAGCTAATTGAGCGACCGGCGTGTCTAGAATTTCCCCCGGTACTTGACATTCAGCTCCATTAACTGCATCGGGGCCCGTGAATTGAGATTGAGTTGTTTCTGTGTTTTTTTGCAAAGGATATTTGCTGAGTCGGTTATTCACCACACGTGAAGATAATTCAACACCAGTTAAAGTAACGCCCCGTGTAACCCACGACTTTTTATTATTGTTCACAAGACGAGCATTTCTACCAGACTTGTTATCCAAAGTTCTATAATTTTCACTACCGGAACTATCATATGGCTTATCCGTCGTCAAAATTTGAAATGTTGATTGACTTGATGAACAGTTGTGTCGATGCGAAGCTTTCAATTCCAATACTCTCTCTGAAATGGTTAATGTGTCCAAATTTTCTGAAATTCCCGACACAATTTCTCCAGATCGCTGAATATCCGTCAGTTTTCTCCTTCGTGAGAAATCAAATGCTGGTGTATTTAATTCACAACTCCCTTCAGGCGAATGAGAATTTACCGGTTCAAGTGATCTGTCAGAATTTGCTGTACAATCCAAATCTTTGAAAAGTTTCAACACAGTATTTCCTGAACTCACATCAGATGGAATATCAGTCGATTTTAACTTACAATTCTGCGTATAACAAAACTGATCAACATTACGCGGTGTTTTGTCAGGTATACCAATATCAGTAACAACCCGGCTTAACTCACGTCGGTTATCTGAATAAGCAGACGATAATCCACTCCAGGTGTTTGTTTCAGAGCGCATGCGTTGTTTAGGTGGGTCAAGTTGTCCATATATAATGATATCAGCGTGGTCTTCAGAACATTTTAATAATCCACAGCGCGTGCAATGAACGTCACGGTTCATTATTCATTGATACCGGATATTCACTAAGAATTATATATACTAATGACGTCATAACGTAAATACCCGTTATGTCTTATTAATGATTAGACTTCCATTTAAAGGGGTGTTTCACTTGGGACGTATTTATAAAGTTTAAATTTTAAATTATTTTTTTTATTTAGTATTGTCTAAACTTTATATGGATTTTTTTTTTACCACGATTTAATCTTATATATATAAATATATTAGCCTGAATATTATATGCGCCAGGGTATGAGCGTGCTTTATGGAACACCAAAAGCAATCAATTTTAATTCTTGAAAGGTTTTTCATTTAAATTTATTAAAAAGTTTTTATTAACCGTGCTTAGGACTCGAATAGGCGTTAATTTTATGACCGAAATTATTTGTTCAATGAAACTTTCAATTATCCCAACTACATGATAGGCACAGTGAACACCGATAAAAAGTACTACCAATCAATTATTTCAAATGATTTTAAAATATTGAATCTCACCAATTTGGGTGGGATTATTTTTTATGCTTCATTAATACAATAATATAAAACACCGGTAGTAATATTTTCAAGAGTTTTTTCTAAATGTTTTTGTTGTTCAAAAATATCAGACAATAAAACAAACTATATATTTAATCGCAAAATATCATGCTCGTACTCGATGAAACGTACATTTAATCTTCATAGTCTTGGTTATCGAGTTGATAAATATTTACAGTAATAACATTGCAATGAAATATCATCGAATTATGAGATTATCGCATTAACTGGATAATAGACTGGTTTATCCCCTTACCACATTTACTGCATGCCGACTTGACTGTCCAATCGTTTATCGAATTATTAGATTAGATTAGCAGGATCGTCAGAACTAAAAAAAAGAAGATATTTAAGGAGTAATTAATACCTGTGTAATAACCAAGTGGTCCTTAAAGGCAATAAGCAGATTTTGTACTTCTGGTGACAGGTCTTAATAGTTGATGGTAAAATATAGAGATTATAGCTTTAAATATTATGTTTTAACATATTAGCTTTTAAAGTTGTTTATTGTAATGAAAACACAGAATCCCTCACGGCGTTAATATATCATGACAAGAAGTACCATCGTGAAAACCTGTTCATTTGAGAATTAATACAATTAGATGCTAATTTCTACTCTTTTTTCAGCAATTGGGTGGGCACGTATCGTAATAATAATTCATCCGAGGAAGGTCCTGTGTACATTTATATGTCCCCTCAATTTGACTATTAAATCATGTTGGAGACCCCTGTGGGAGTAAAAAAAACTTGGGTGACCACGAGGAGTCATGGGAAGAAGGAAGAATGTAATTCAAGATGGCCGTCATTCCACATAGCTGAATAGAACGCATTCGCTATGTTTCTAAGCCATCCCTCTAATACGCCATTCAATTACAAAAACGTTAATTGATGAATGGCAAACGGTTGTTGCAAGAGTTTTGTTTGGATGTTTGTTCCCGACTGTCGGAACTGTAGCTATGTAGGATTTTTTAGGGAATGTAGGTGTGGACGGAGTTTTCAAGAAGGACTCTAATAGAGTGGGACGTGATCTGATCTATAGTATAATTAGAATATAATTAATACTTAATTAATACTTTAAGAACAATTTTCGCATCGCTTCTTGCGGCAGGTTATTTACACATACGGCAATAAAAAGCATTAATACGCAACTTTTAAGAACTTTAATTTTATATAATACTAGTTTTCGTCGACCAGTTAGGACACGATGAGTATGTAATTTTAGTATGCAACCTATTTTCTAATTGTCCGGCTATTTACCAGAATTTGGCCATCACTCCACGTCCTGGGAACACGTGTTTAGGTGTGATTGTTTTAGGGCCTATTTTAACGTGCGTACAGGCACGGACATGCCTGGAATTAAACAGCTGTGCTTCGAGAATCACAAGATTACATGAGGAAATCAAGCAAGTGTGCCATTAGCAACCACTGTGATCATCAGTCAAGTGCGTTTGGTTTCGTTTAAATTTAGTGTTTTGCATTAAATGTCTAGAATAAAGCTGTTGGTGACGCAAGTAGTCAACTATAGGTTACAGTAACGGTTCTTTGGACTGCCAATGATAAATACAAATCTGTAAACTATGTACATTTTTATATACGGCCACAGTTTCATATTAATTCGTCCCTGAAAAGTTTGCCTGTTTTAGATGTTGAGGATCAAAAGATCTTGGTTGAATTCGATTTTGGGGCAACTGCTTGGGTTATGCCTTACAAAGGGTAACAATGTTTGTGAGTTTTCTAATGTGATAAATTGGGAACATGAGAGCACGAATCCTATCGATAATCACCACTCCACGACCTTCAATTCCGGAGTTAAGCCCACTCGAAAACCTTGTGGAACCGATAGAGACTATCGTTTTAACCGTGTTTTTTTTTTCAAATTTGGTGTGAAGCATCGATATTCAGCGTTTGTGACCTTCCGTTATCGAGTTACCAAACTTTTCCAATAACCTTATGAACGCGATATAGGCAGGTATAGGCAATACCTTCGATGGGAGGTATTGGGACAATATTAGCGCCTGGGCGCTATCGATTTTCTCAGTTATCTGTCCATCTCGGCGTATCGTGTATGGCAACCGCTTGTTTGATTATAAAATTGTAAGCATCGTGATAATTCAGGAAGCTTTTATTCCACTTTGTTTTGGTTTACGACAAATTAGTCACGATTTCAGAAGTTTATTCTGACATAGTAGAGCTGATTAAGGTGATGGAAGAAGCTAAGTTGCGCCGATCAAGTTCTGTGAGGAAACACTGATAAAAAAAAGCTCCATCTCCAGAAACCGCGCTTTATAAATAAAACCTTAAAATAGGCCCTGAACTGTTCCCCATAAATTGGGAAGATTCTGATTATGCTTTATAATTGATCGATCTATATTTCATTTCTGGCTATTTATAATTAATTGTGCAAATTGTCATTTTGTAATTTGTTGGCATTATCTGAGAACGTGCTATAGGCTGATTCTTACTCACCTGACAACCAGTCAAACATAGTTTTATCACCGACGAACCACGTGGCTCACACATGTAACATGTTCTAATTAATCATGTCAATATACTACAATATTACAATGGCAATAGGTATATTGGCAATATTTCAAATCTATTAAAGATTTTTTTCACGAGTGATTTAAGCGATCATTTTTTTTTTTTGCTTTTGTTTTGGTGTCGACGCGACACTATAGACGAGGTCGCTGATCTGGTCATTAGACTTCGGACCGATGAACTTACTGAAAAATAAGAGGGACGATATTGCCCAAGCTCGGGGGGGGGGGGGGGAACTTTCATTCTCGTGATCGATCTCTCACCATTCCATATAATTGAAAAGAAGTGAATTGAAATGATCAGGGGCGGACCCCCCCCCCCCCACCCCCCCCCCCCCCACCCCCCGCTCAGCTACATAATTTTTTTTGTAAAACAACTTTTTTTATGAGAAAAGTGTCATAATTGTGCTTTATCCTGTATCGCCAGATGGTGCGACAGGATGGCCACTCAAAGCGCGAGATAATGATATAGACATAATTATGTGATATCAAAATTAATGCTTTGCATCAATTAAATTGAATCACAATGTCATCGTATTAATTCATAATAAAAATTGACATCAAACAGGATGTTGGATCTCTCTGTTTAAAAAGCTCAATGTGTATGTATATAAGCCAAAATGACGATAGAGACCATGTATTTCTCAAAAAATTTCAAGCCGAGGGGGTGGGGGTATACATTTTCTCAGAAAACTGGCAAACCCCCTCCTGCAAAAATTTCCTGGATCCGCCCCTGATGATATGGGGTTTAGCCTCGTTCTTTTCTTCACAGACTGGGCTGACATATTGATCGATTTTAGTTGAATATATGATTAAAAAAAATAAATCAGGATCATAAATAGGTTGTGGGATGTGATACTGTTAATCTGGGGACGCCTTCATTGTTCATTCCAGTCTACCCTGCGTGATTGTGTCTGTATAGCTGGGCACGCCTTGATCATCCATTCCAATTTCTACTTTATAAATATGCTGTGTTTATCAATTTAAGTACCGCAATTAAACAAATTCTAACATCCGCAAGGTTTTGTTGAAATTTTACGGTTTGTTGCTTTATGACTAACAGAAGATCTCCCTGGTTGCTAATCTACAAATCTACGCCGCTGCGAACAAAAATATAATCCCCTTTTCACCATATTATTATCATGCATTACCTCACATAATATAGATTATGGATCTTTTAAAAGACTTGGTGTGGGGTCTGACTATAAATCGTGTTTGTACAGTCTTACAATATCAAACTCATAACATAACTCAAATCTACAGACGGTTATTGTATGATATTAGCAAACATAAACATAACAAAACATAAAGTTCCCACACCGCCATTATAACCTTATATTAATAAGTGATATTTAGTAGATAGCAAACACAAGTATTATTGATGACAAAACACTGGACACTAATTTTATTCAAAGGAACGATTTTGTCTCGATCCAAGCAACGATGCGGGGGACAACTGAATTGGGGTTGGTCGTCGACTGTGCTGTGCTTGGTCGGTGACTGGGTTGTGTTTGGTTGTCTATTGGACTGGGTTGTTTGGTCGTCGACTGGGTTGAGTTTGGTCTTCGACTGAATTGTATTAGTCGTCGAATGGATTGACATGTGTTGGTCGGCGATGGTACTGTGTTTGGTCTGTGTTTGGATCATGTAGTTAAAGGATGAACTGTCTTTGGTTTAGGTTAAAAATTAGTTCAGTTGGGATCAAATTAAATAAATAAGACATGTTTTAAAGACATATTCCCTCGTGTATAATTAGTTCATATATTATGTCTGATAAACGTATTTGTACCTGGAAATATATCTAT